CAGTGGTGCAGCAGCAGCAGCAACAGCCGTGGGTGGCTATGCAGTACCCGGCGGCGGCGATGGTAATGCAGCATCCAATGATGCCGTCCCCACATTATCCACCTCATTACATGCCGTTTCATCCACAACACCATCACCACCTTATCCACCACCCGCCGCACTCACCGTCACCGCATCAACAAGGTGGAGGTGGAGGATCTAATAATAATGAAAATCGAACGATCTGGGTGGGTGACCTTCATAATTGGATGGATGAGGATTATCTACGTAGCTGCTTTGCTACCACTAATGAGGTATAAGTCTGAACCAGTTTACGCTCATCTCGACTAAATTAATTTCATGCATATATATATATATTTGGGGCTCTGTTTTTTTAAACACGTGATTTATGTTTTCATGTGATTAATTACAATAAAATCTGGATTTATTTGCTTATATGGATGGAGTAGAATGATGGTAGGTAGCTACTAATTAGCCGCCATCACAAGTAAAGTTTTTATATTTTTTCCATAAATATCTTTTTGTACTTTTAGTGACAGGCCTAAAATGGAATGTTGATAATTTGGAGTAGATAGTTTGTATGATTAGGCAATGCTTTAATTGGGGAATAGATTGAAGATTGTTCAAACCTTTAGATAGTCTTCATTGCCTTTTTTTTTTAGAGAAAAATAGTTTGTAAATGGTAAGTTATGATTTCCATTGTGAAATAGGGCAAGACAATAATTTTACTAGTTCAACTAGTAATTCTGATTTTAGCATGTTATTGCTAATTAATGAAGAGCTCAAATTGGCAGCTTCTCTATGTGTAGCTATGGAATTTTTATCAAAAAACATGTTCAAAGATTGAAACTTTTGCTACCGAAGCCAAAATTTAAAATGTGTAAAGCTCATGTCAGCCTTAGATTTTCCACCTTGAATGTGGTAACATGCTTTGAGAGTTACTACCAAAATTTAAAATGTGTAAAGCTCATGTCAGCCTTAGATTTTCCACCTTGAATGTGGTAACATGCTTTGAGAGTTACTACCAAAATTTAAAATGTGTAAAGCTCATGTCAGCCTTAGATTTTCCACCTTGAATGTGGTAACATGCTTTGAGAGTTACTACCAAAATTTAAAATGTGTAAAGCTCATGTCAGCCTTAGATTTTCCACCTTGAATGTGGTAACATGCTTTGAGAGTTACTACCAAAATTTAAAATGTGTAAAGCTCATGTCAGCCTTAGATTTTCCACCTTGAATGTGGTAACATGCTTTGAGAGTTACTACCAAAATTTAAAATGTGTAAAGCTCATGTCAGCCTTAGATTTTCCACCTTGAATGTGGTAACATGCTTTGAGAGTTACTACCAAAATTTAAAATGTGTAAAGCTCATGTCAGCCTTAGATTTTCCACCTTGAATGTGGTAACATGCTTTGAGAGTTACTACCAAAATTTAAAATGTGTAAAGCTCATGTCAGCCTTAGATTTTCCACCTTGAATGTGGTAACATGCTTTGAGAGTTACTACCAAAATTTAAAATGTGTAAAGCTCATGTCAGCCTTAGATTTTCCACCTTGAATGTGTTAACATGCTTTGAGAGTTACTATAAAGGTATAATCTTGACGTTTTGGTTAACATGGATTCATCATGTAATCTACTTGTAACGTCTCTGATATATAGTAACTTCTTTGATAGTCTGTGGGATTGTTTGGGTCTTGCTGGAGTATAATAATCTTAATATTAAATTTCCAAGTTCAGATGTTGATCTCTTTGCAGTAGGCAAGTATAATGAGGAGATAAATAAAAGAACAAGTTTTTCTTAGAACATCTGTTTTCTCTTCATTGTTGCCTTTCTGATGTTCAGCAGAGTTTGGATGACAACCATTAAAATTGCTAATATTATGTTACTGTTATGTTATCGAGAGCCTTCTGAGAAAGCACCTCCCCTTGGCATTCTTTTGGCACACAACATTACTCTGTACTAACAGCACAGTACACATGAATTGTTTTGCCCATGTCAATGAGCATGATATGTCATGACAGACCCAAGTTGGTGAACATTGAGGCTCTCTAGTATTCAAATTGAATGACAAGAAAATACTAAGTAATTAGTGACATCATATAGACTCCCGGTAACTATTCAACATTTATTTACATTGGAAGCAGAATGAGAAACTCTTGCATGATGATTCAAGCCATTTGAAATTCTTGAATGTGCTTGGAGGTTAAATATGTACCCATTGCCCACCCAAAATTGATTTCTCCATATGGGGAAAAAGTGAAGTGAAGTCTTTGACCTCATGATTTTCTTGTCAGCTTATATGGTTCTTGTTTGTGCAGGTTGCCTCCATCAAGGTAATTCGCAATAAACAGACTGGTTTCTCTGAAGGGTATGGTTTTGTGGAATTCTTCACACATGCATCTGCCGAGAAAGTTCTGCAGACATATTCTTGCATGACAATGCCTAATGCAGAACAACCTTTCCGTCTGAATTGGGCTACATTCAGTATGGGTGACAAGCGAGTAAACAATGGTTCCGATCTGTCCATCTTTGTAGGAGATTTAGCTGCAGATGTTACTGATACCTTACTGCATGAAACTTTCTCCCAAAAATACCCCTCTGTTAAAGCTGCTAAGGTTGTCATCGATGCCAACACTGGTCGTTCTAAAGGATATGGTTTTGTAAGGTTTGGAGATGATAATGAGAGGTCTTCAGCTATGAATGAAATGAATGGTGTGTATTGTTCAAGCAGGCCTATGCGAATTGGTGCCGCCACGCCACGGAAATCATCAGGATACCCACAGCAATATTCTTCTCAAGGTAATGAGCGTTGTAATTTAGATATTTTTGCTGGCATTAATTGTTGATATCTCAAGTTTTTTTATTTCTGCACAAGAAAACAATCAGACCCCTTTGGAAAGAAAGAAAAATGAGTTGCCTTGTTAGTAGTTACACCTTACAGTCTTTTCCATTAAAAAATGAGGATAAGGAACTTTACTCTTATAGATTTTCCTTTCATGAATGCTGTTAAGTTGGTGAAAAGTGACAGAGACTGGAAGAAATGGATCTAATTGCAAAATCATTTCTGAGCATATATAGTAAAAAGAATAGTTTTTTGTTCTTTTTCTAATTTAGTAACTTCAAAAGAGTGTCACATTTTGGTGCTACTGTCATTTCTGCTATTGAGACACATGTGCAAACACCCCCACCCTGTAGTATTAGCATTCTTGTAGAGGAAAATTTATCACTTGTGGACTTGCTATTTAACATGCAGCATCATGGTACTCCTATTACTCCTGTTTCCTCTTGTTACAGGGTGTTAGAATTTTGTTTTTCCTAGTTAGGATTTTCAATTTTCATATTGTGTACGCATGTTTCTCTGACTACTTGCCTTACTTTTATGGCCTTACTTTAATATCTTCATGCCTTGCTTTTGATATTTGTATATTCTTTGAAATGACTTGGACTAAAAGCAACAATTTCATTCTTCAAGTCAACTTTGACGCATGCATGTTTTCTTACATTCTACATGGTTTAGCTAACAAAATTTAATTCTGGAAGAAGAGGAGGGAAAAGAGATGAACCCCTTTCCTCTAACTAGTGAGAAATGGATATATTCAATTACCTAGTTGTGTTGTGTTTGTAACTGTCATCTTTGCTTGTAACTGTTTATTTTAGCTGATATTTTCACGTCAAACATGATTTTTTTAGTTGCAACAAGTATGTATCAGGTTTTGATTAAGTACCTAAAAGTGTGAGCATGAATGAGATTTGTGGTAACTTGATTGATCATTAAATTGTCTGAATTCGTAAAGTAAATTAATGTGTTCCTTTCCTTTTTAACCATTAGGTTTTGTTTCCAATTTCACTTCATTTGCAGTTCCCCATAAGTTGCAGGTAGTTAGTTGTTTTTCTTTTGTGGTTTAACAGTATTTATAGTGAAAACATCAAATAATGGTCCATTAATTTCAAAGCATTACTGTGGATGTTGTGGTAGTCGAGTTGACTGTTTTATATTTTTAAATTCTTGCTTCTGAACTGCATTTGGTAGGTGGATACTCCAATGGTGGACCAGTTCAAGGATCACAACCTGATGCAGATTCTACAAATACCACAGTTTGTTAACTACTCTATTCTTTTCTGTTTCTCTTTTTCTAATTTTTGAGTCCCCTTGGCTAACCGATATCATCATAGATTTTTGTTGGAGGTCTTGACCCCAATGTCAGTGATGAAGATCTTAGACAGCCTTTTGCACAGTATGGTGAAATAGTTTCTGTAAAAATTCCAGTTGGGAAAGGGTGTGGGTTTGTGCAATTCGCAAACAGGTAGCTTGACAATTGTGATTTTTCAAGTCATTAGGTGTCTTATTAGACGGTAAATGTTCAGTAACAAATCTATATAATTTGTCTGGCAGGAATGATGCAGAGGAAGCCTTACAGAAGTTGAACGGAACTGCTATTGGCAAGCAAACAGTGCGCCTTTCTTGGGGACGAAACCCAGCAAATAAACAGGTGTTTTCTCTTTCTTTCTCCCATCATGCCTTTGTCTCTCTGCTGTCGCTTCTTTGAAGTTTGTGTCTTTGAAAACAAAAAAGAATTTCTGAACAGGCCAGTGAATTCTTAGGACAAGTCATAAATCTAGTGGATAGCATCTGTCGTGTCTCATAGTTATTCTATTCTCCAACATTTGCTTGACTTATGGTAACTCCTAGTGGGAATATCTATTTTCAAGCTGCATATCAGGAAGCGTTAGTGTGTTACAATAACATACTTCTGATTTTATGCTGTAAGGTGATCAAAATATCTGCTCCTCTGCCCCCCTTTTTGAGATGGTAATAGCCTATTGATATGTTCTCTGTGACAAATTTTAAGTTGCTCCAATTAAGCAGTTAGACACCTGGTTCTTTACATGTTCTCCTTTTATACTTGCATTGCATCAATTTCCTGTCTCCTTTCTGTTGCTTCTTTGAAGACTTATGCTTTTGGAGAAAAAATGAATCTCCCAAGCAGGTGGGACTAATGCTTAGAACAGTTATGACCACTGGCTAGCATCTGTTTCTGAAAGAATTGTAAGGAGGAGCTTGTGTTGTGCTGCGATATCTAATCAAGTTTGCTGGGAGGGGCAACCTGATCGACAATTTGACATGTCTCAATAGGTTTTCTTGTGTTCAACCTTTGCTTGATTATAGAAACTCTTAAGTTATGCTTGTTGGTAGAAGTGGGAGTATCTATTAATACCAAAAGAAATAGAGCTTCATCAATTGACACAGAGTGAAATGACACTCATATATATAAGCAATTTATATCGAGAAGCCATGGTAGTGAAATAACTATTGGTGGTTGAGACGGTATTGATAAGCTGTTATATGCCATATTCTTCAACATGTCTCTCTCCATCGACTATCTATGCTTGTATTACTCAATCTCTTCCTGTGGAATATTGCAGTCACGATCTGATTTTGGGAACCAGTGGACTGGGCCATACTATGGAGGACATTTCTATGATGGTTATGGGTATGCATTCCCACCACCACACGACCCAGGGATGTATGCTGCTGCCTATGGGGCTTATCCAGTGTATGGTACTCACCAGCAACAAGTAAGCTGAAAGTCTGGCGCCGAGTTCCTCTGCTTGAATAGTGAATGTGCTTAATTTATTTGTTTCAAGCTTGGAATGTAGAATTTAATCAAATCCCTCCAAATGAGGAGTGGAACTGAATTTTGACTGGATGTGTTAGTCTCCTAGGGATTCTATTAAACATTTATTTAGAAGTTTGGACTTTAGACATGAAACTTCTTGGATGGAATAAATCATAATCATCCACTGTGGTACATGTTATGTACTTCAGAAAGCAAAATGCTGCTTCCAAAATATTCAGATTTTCTGGATGCAAATCAATTCTTTTGATCTGTTTTTTGTGTTATTTGTAATGGCTGCCCCAAAATACCTTTGATCCAATGCACAGAGCTGCAACGTTATCTGCAACTTTCACGGACTATCTTCTACTTGGGTAGCCATTTTTTCTGAAACTTGGTTTTGTTTCATGAATTCTTCTGTTTGAGCCGGGGCTCTCGGGCTTTGGTCTAGTGGTAAGAGTGCATTTGAGATGTGAGACCCTACTTCATCTCTTTTATTGCACGTAGGCTCGGGGTTGAGCCCCTTGCTCAAGTTTTTGGCAGATGAAACCAGTAACGATAGTGTGGTCCATCACCAACTCCAAGAAGCGAAGTTGGTTCAGTAATTCAGGATTTGGAGAATAAACACTAGTATACCACGGAAATGAACCATCCATCCAGATCTCGTGTGGAGTGGTAACTGATCGGACTTCTTCATCCTTAATTAATTAAAAAAATTCAGTTTTTTCTGCCAATGAAGCCGCTTTACTAGAGAACGGTCTACCCTAACTCATTGTTTGGATGGATGTTATGTGTTGTTTCATAATGTATTGTATTGTATCATACCGTACTGTATTGTTTTAATAAATAATTAAATATAGTATTTGGATAGGTTGTATCATTTTTCGTCGTTACATAATGTCACACATCTATAATTTGAGTGATAAACCTACCAGAAAAGTAGCGTTCGGGGTAGAGATACTATGAAAAGGTAGGGTAAAAAATGAAATACAATTATTAAATAATAAAGGGAAAAGGGACAAATATAACCCCAAACTTTCGAAAATGGTATGTCAATACCCTCCGTTATACTTTTGGTTCATCAGAGCCCTTGCCGTCCAATAATCAGTGCACATTTGCCCCTCCCACTAACGGAACACACATTGTGTACACGTGGCGCAATCCTAGGCCACAATCCGGATTGACCAATTTTTTTACCCAAATTTCAAAAACCCGTCCATAACCCATTTAACCCACCCAATTTACTCACAAATAAACTCTCTAAAATCCTAGGGAAAAATCCTAAAAAGTTTATTTATTTACGTTAAACTTTACACACGTTTTAAAAAATACGATTGTAATAAAAATTTTATCGTAATACTCTTATTAATTAATGGATTGTTTTGGTAAAACTTAATTTTTGAAATTATTTTTTCAACAACTTAACTTCTTAATCACTTTCCCTTAACCATGTGGGTCCCATATTTTCCATCGTTCTTCTTCCTAATTCTTCTGTTGATTTCTTCAAACTTCTTCTTTTACTGTTCCTCTGCTTCTTGCAAGAAAGAAAAAAATGGGAATTTCTACAACACCTCCCCCTTCCCCCAAACCCTTATCCTTGACATACTAACCCCTTATCCCCCACCCAACTACCCGACTCCTTCCAATTCGAATTACCACTTTAGTTTTCGCCAGTCCAGTTATGGTACTAGATCTGTAGTCTATCAAAATCAGTATCCTCCTTATTATCATCCTCACAGTAATAACGGATGGGGTGGGTTTCGGCCTCCACCATCACCTTCACCGCCGTTGCCGGCGGTGCCGTATGTGGATCACCAAAATGCGAAGAGGATTAAAAATGATGTTAATGTTCATAAGGATCCTATCAGGGTTCATGTTGATAAATTCAATAAGGATTTCCATTTTTCTTTAGGATTTTATTGAGTTTATTTGTGGGTTAAATGGGTTATGGGCGGGTTTTGAAATTCGGGGTTAAAAAATTGGTCAATTCGGGTTGTGGTCTAGGATTGCGCCACGTGTACACAATGTGTGTTCCGTTAGTGGGAGGGGTAAATGTGCATTGATTATTGGACGGCAAGGGCTCTGATGGACCAAAAGTATAACGGAGGGTATTGACATACTATTTTCGAAAGTTCGGGGGTATATTTGTCCCTTTTCCCAATAATAAATAAAGATAAAATGAGAAGAAAATATTAGGTTAACGACGCGATCACACCAAATCGGTCGTTCCATAAAATGAGTCTTTTCATCATTACCTAACGATGAATTTTAAACGATACGATACAATAAAATTTAAGTAACAATCTGAGCAATTACATTGTAATATAGTACAATACAACGGGTAACTACCATCCAAACAAAGTGTAAATAAAACTTTTTGATACCAATCCGAACTATATAGTCGAGCTTCCAAACGAATAAAAGCCAAAAAACGAAAGAAAAACCTTTAATTATCACAGAAAGAGGGAACTAAATTAAATCAATAGGGAAAAGGGTAAAAAATACCCCTCAACTTTGTTTTATTGGTTGGCTATGTCCTTACCGTTAAAACAAAGTTATTCTTACCCCTCTCATTACTAATTTCATCATTTGTGCCCCTCAACTGGATGGAAAGCTCCAAATCAACTTAAATTAACCTGATTTCAATTGAAATTACTCAATTTTTCTAGTTTAACCCTAACCCAAATCCGACCCACAATACTAAATAACAAATAACAACAAACTCCTGTCTTCTCTCTCTCTCACAACTTGTGCATACATCTGATAAAAAGCTTAGAGTAGCAATAGTGGCTTCTTCTTGCTCCATAAAAAGGGTTAGATAGAATAGTGATACTTATTGTGAAGAAACTGTTTGTTCCTCCCGTCTTTTTTTAAAAATCGAAACTTTTCGTTCTGATGCGTATCCAAATTAATTGAGTCTTAAAATGAGAAGCCGAAAAATACCATGTAGATGAAGGAATTGGCGCAATACAACGAAAAAAACATTTTATTACAGAAAGAGGGAATTAAATTAAATCAATACAGAGTGTTTACTCAAGATTTTTTTTCTTAAAAAAAATATACCGACTGTTTAAGTAAAAATAAATACTACTCAAACAAATACCACATCGATCAACCATATATTAATTTTCCAATATTTTAACCGAGAAAACGCAGTAATAGTCACACAATGTGGTATCATGAAACAACACCCAACAAGGGTGTGTTTGCCATGAATTTGGATATATGCACATCCACAATGGGTGTGTTTGCATTTCAAAAGTTTGATTGTCAAAGAATTGAAGGATTCATGGTGGCACACTCAAAGTGCCCATCCACCATGGGTGGGCTAATTTTTTTTTATCCTAGATCGATTAATTTTGAATTCACGATAACAAGCTTATAATAGATGGACACTGAAGCAAATGAATATAAGAGAAACATAGTGAAAAAGGACTTGGGAATAGTTGAGCTAACAAGAAAGATAGATGGGCATATATAGGAGGTTTTGTAAAGTTGGTACGTATTCATTTGCGTAAAGTTTATACAAGGAGAAAATACTTCTTCTTTATAGTATAATATTATTCATATCGAAAGTCTGAATAAAAAACCTTTAATTTAGAGTGAAATAATCATATCCACTCTATCACAATTGACAATCTTAATTGATCGTATTAAGGTTTTTAAACTAACACTCAAACATAATATTATCGGAATTAATGAAAAATCATTTTACGATAATAAAATGCTTAAAGTTTTTTATATTCATGACACCATTATGAGTGATCACGCAAAGAAAAAGAAATAAAAAGGTTATAACTTCATATTCCTTACATCACGAGTTGAGGATGGACTATCAATCAAAACTTGTATAGAGTAGTAAAAGCTCTTTCGTCCTTAATTAACTAGAGCTTTCAGGTTTTGATACAATCCGAACTATCTAGTTGAGCTTTGAAACAAATACAAGACAAAAAAAAGTCAAAAGAAAAACCTTTTTTATTATTATCATAGAAAGAGGGAACTAAATAAATAAATAAAAAAAAACAGAAAGAGGGAACTAAATTAAAGTGTTTACTTAAAATAAATGTTGTTCAAATTAATACCACACCGGTTAGGTAAAATATCAATTGCTCAATATTGCATTTCAAAAAATTAAGAATTCTTGGTTGGCACATCCAAAGTGCCCATCCGCCATGGGTGGGCTAATTATTTTTTTACGATAAAATGCTAAATGTTTTCAATAACACAATTATGAGTTTCCGCAAAGAAAAAGAAATAAAAAGGTTACAACTTCATATTGCTTACGTCATGAGGATAGACTATTAATTAAAATTTGTGTAGAGTAGTAAAAAGTTTTTCATCCTTAATTAAGTAGAGCTTTTGGATTTTCCTAAAAATGAAGTTGCATTTAGTAAGAAGGGTTTTACTTTGAAGTATGACTTTCCAATATGAATCCAAACTAGTCAAGCCTCATAAATGGGTACGAAAGAACTACAGTGTAATGCGATGAGCTTCATCCAATATGAAAAAAAAACTTATTATTATGGGAACTGAGGAAAATAAATTTCAATAATTTAAAAGAGGTTTAATATTATTATCTTGCTTTTATTATGGTAAGTACATCAATTCTTTTCTTCAACCAACTTCACATAATTTCATAACTCAAATTTCATGAATGTGAACCAAAGACGACTTTATACGGACCTATGTGTTAGAATTAACGAATAAGGCTACTTTAGTTGTGATTATTCGATCGAGCAAAATATTGAAGAGTTTCATTTGGGAACCAAGCTCAATTATCAATTGGTTAATTGGGACTACGAGTTAGACAGAAGAGTGATGCTTATTGTGAAGAAATTATTTGTTCCTCTCGTCCTCTTTCTAAAATCTAAAATTTTCATCCCTATTCTTATCTCTATCCTTAATTACTTATTCTTTTGGTATTTTCTATTGTAATTCAATAATTTTAATGTTGCCTTTTAATTTGACTATCAAAATTATATAATACTTAGGTATTCATCTTTCCATAGAAACCTACATTATTAGAAAAAAGAAAGTAGAGAATAAGCACGAGTACATTGCGGAAATGAGCCATCGATCAAAACTCATATAAAGCAGTAGTAAGTATTGCTTTATTTTTAATTAATTAGAGTTTTCGAATAGTTTTGAAAATGAAATCGCCTTTAATATTAAATTAAGTCAAACCTTCTAATGTGAATCCGAATTAATTAAACCGTCGAAAAATACCACGTGGATGAAGGGAATTGGCCCAAAACTTCATCCGACGAAAAAAACCTTTATTACCGAGTGTTTACTAAAAAATAAATACTACTCAAACAAATACCACACCGATAGGTTATATATTAATTGCCTAAATTTATGAAATGCTAACACACCCATTGTGGATGTGCATTTATCCAAATTCATGGCAAACACACCCATTGTGGATGTGCATATATTCCCTTTTAATTTGACTATCAAAATTATTATAATACTAAGGTATTCATCACTCCATAGAAACCTGCCTTAGAAAAAAGAAGTAAATAGAAACAACAAACAAAGAACTCATAACAAAGTAAAGAATAAACACGAGTACACTGCGGAAATGGACCATTGATCAAAACTCATATAGAGTAGTAAATACTGTTTTATTTTTAATTAATTAAAATTTCTGAATATTTTTGAAAATGAAATCACCTTTAGTAAAGAACGCTTATCTAAATTAAGTCAGACCTTCTAATGTGAATCCGAACTAATTGAGCCTTAAAATGAGGAGCCAAAAAATACCATGTGGACAAAGGAATTGGTGGGAAAAAAAAGCCTTTATTGCGGAAAGAGGGAATTAAATTAAATCAATACAGAGTGTTTACTTTAAGATTATTTTTTTTAAAAAAAATATGCCGAGTGTTTATTAAAAATAAATATTAAACAAATACCACAGCGATCAATTAATATGCCCAATATTTTACCAGAGGCAACGCACTAGTAATCACCACAATGTGGTATCATGAAACAACACCCAACAAGGGTGTGTTTGCCATGAATTTGGATATATGCACCCACAATGGGTGTGTTAGCATTTCAAAAATTTGATTATCAAGAATTGAAGAATTCATGGTGGCACACTCAAAGTGCTCATCCACCATGGATGGGCTAATTTTTTTAAATCATATTTAGGGACGATTAAATTTGAATATCTTTAGAATCGAGAATAACAAACTCGCAATAGATGTACACATAATAGAGCGAATGAATATAAGAGAAACAGGGGAATAGCTAAACTAACAAGAAAGATAGATGGGCATGGGAGGTTTTGTAAAGTTGGTACATATTCATTTTTTTATTTTATCTTTGATCTATTATTTGACATCTGCATTAGGTCTGCTAATTAATTAATTTGAATTTGTGTCGCATAAAGTTCATATAAGGAGAAAATACTTTTTTATAGTATGATATTTTTCATATTGAAAGTCCAAATTAAAAATCTTTAATTTAAAGTGAATAATCATATCCATTTTATTACAATTGACAATCATAATTGATCGTATCAAGGTTTTTAAACTAACACTCAAACACAATATCATCAGAATTAATGAAAAAATATTTTACGATAATAAAATGCTAAATGTTTTCAATATTAATGACACAATTATGAGTCGCCGCAAAGAAAAAGAAATAAAAAGGTTATAACTTCATATTACTTACATCACGATAATAGACTATCAATCAAAACTTGTGTAGAGTAGTAAAGACTCTTTCATCTTTAATTAACTAGAGCTTTCGGATTTCCATAAAAATGAAGCCTCCTTTAGTAGGAAGCGTTTTACTTTGAAGTATGACTTTCCAATGCGAATTCAAACTAGTCAAGCCTCAAAACAGATACGAGATGAAAAGCCGAAAGAATACGGTGTAATGCGAACTTCATCCAATATGAAAAACACTTTTATTATTATGGGATAGAAGAGGAAAATAAATTAGTAAGCAATACCACATCAATCATTTATAAATCATTTAACCAGTATTTTAGCAGATGCAAACGCTGCATTAGTCACCACAATGTGGTATCATGAAATAACATATCGCGGCTTGACTAAATTTAAATCTGCACCAAAAAGATTTTTCCTTAAAACCAACTACAACAAGGCTAATTTTCTTACAAAGTTGATGCTAATTGCATGCTATTTTTACTATTAATTATCTATCCATGTCCGGTAATCATATTGGATGTGGACATAATTCGAGCGTTTCATTATCAGATCGAAATTCAATTAAATTTAAATTCACATCGAAAAATATATTCTTAGAACCGACAATAACAAGCTCGTAATTTTACTGTTAATTAGATGATAATAGTACATATTACATCTGCTCCATCTCAAACTTCCCCTATTACGTTGGTGATGATTCAAAATTTAAATGATTTATCAGTGGTGAGTTCAAAAATTTTATCACTACATTCCCTACCCAGAGGGCTAAATATGTAATTTTTGTGAGGTTTGAACATACATATCGAAACTTTTCGTTAAAGAAAAATATACTAACCAAATTGGGTGTGATTATGATGAGCAAAGATTAAACAATTCCAAACATAACTTTTGCCTCACTAAAAGAGGAAAAGATGATACTAGAATCACTTTATTTAAAAAAAACACCCTTTGTTAATTAATTAATTCCCCCACATTATTGGTAATATACCCAAAAAGGAATCAAATTTAATTACTACAATTTATAGTAATTATTTAAATATGTTGCATCATGGGACACACACCTAAGATCCTGTTCCTACCACAGCTACATCCTTATCACAACCGTTGATTTACAGTCTGATTGTCGCTTCATTCAAATGAACGGTTTGGATTAAGATCTTGCTATCTCCGTAGAACACCTGATCACTACCGTAAAGTAGAACACCATCATTGCGTATAATGGTCGGTAGGTCACAGCAGATAACGGGCCCCACTATTAGGACACGTGTCAGTAGCACAATTTCTTATCCTTCCAGCTTTGACATCTGTTCTGATGAAAATTAATTAATTAATGCTAATTCTTTAATGAAATTAAAGATTTTGAGATTAGAGATTACTTAACTGGGTGGAGGTACTGACTAATGACTAATGATTAAAAAAGATACAGTTTTAAAATCGGTTACAGGCTTACAGCTGGCAGTTACACGTTCCACAAAATGACTTCTATCTCCTCCTTCTCTCCTCCTCCGTTGACGACGTCGTCGTCTTCCGCCACGCAGCAGCGCCGGAGTTGTGTACGTCGTTCATTCAGGGGCGGCGCGTGCGTTTCACTTTCATCGGTCACCGTTTCGTGTTCGACGAAGGAGCCGAAAGTTGTTGTAACCAGAGAACGCGGGAAGAACGGAAAGCTCATCAATGCTCTGGTACTCAATCGGTTATTTGCTAGTTCTTCAATTTTGAGTTTTAATTGGATGTGTATGTTATTTTCTCGAAGGTCTAGGGTTTCTGTGGTTGTTTCGTGGTGGTTCAGTGCTCGTGAGTGATATATTAGAGAGAGAATTTTGGCGTTTTTTTTTTTTCGCTGCTACATTGGTATAAAGGAAGTAGCACATTAAATGTTTGATCAAATGCTTAAGTAAGTTTAACTTTGTAGCTGCTGATCACTTGCATTTCTAGGATGATAAAATGATATGATAGAGGAGGAACTAGGATTTGAAGTTTATGCGTTCTAGATTCTAAATGAATAATATGTACACATATATAATGAGTTTTTTAAGACAAATTTTGTGTTTGAATCAAATTACTGGGTTTGGCAGAACCTGTTGCCAACGCTCTACCTTTTCCCCTGGATATGGTGGAGAAAGGGAAGAGTGAAATGCTAATTAGTCTTGAAATCAGGTAGCATTTGGTTTAGGGGCACTGTGAAGGATATTAGGCATGAATTTGGACGCATAGCTTAAAAGATTGTATTTTGTGGATTTGAATCAACAAAATCTTAAATAAGGATGTAGTGAAGAGCACTAAATCATATTCATGAATCATGCTTATTTATGATTCATTTCTTGCATCCTGGATTTATTTAACATGGTGTGCTCGGTATGAAGGAGATATCTTCTGAAAAGTTCCGACAATAAGTCATTTTCTGATGTTTTGTTGCCAGAAATATTTATCCATTTTTCACCCAAAAGAGGAAAATGACATCCCATGAAGTGATGTTTTGTTGCCAGAAATATTTCTCCATTTCTCAACTCTTAATTTCAGATCTTTTCCAATAAAAAAATACACATTATTATCATTTTAATACTCAAAAAAATCATGGGGAAGTGTTATCCTCAGCAAAAAGTTTCCCAAAATCTGCCTTATTTTTTGGTAAATGTTTTATGTCAAAGCAAAGCACACATGTTCATAAAAATCATTATCTAGCTGGCAATACATTTTTGTTTGCTTTCTACTAGGGGAGAAAAGAAGCAAATGGGCGTGACAGGAATTTCAAATTCTTTTCCTGAATCACGTGGTTCTCCCCATAAGATCAAAGAGAAATAAATAAATGAAGTAGAAGAAAGTTACGCATACAAGATATTTAAGAAATCACCATGAATGAAAACAAATAACTTTTTTAATCGGACCAAGTTTCTAACACCAAAGGTCAAGGTGATCTAGACTTTTCCAACTTTTTCTCTCTAGAAAGTTTTGAATTTTGCATCTTCGATGATTATGTTTTCCCTCTTTTTCATGCTTACAGGTCAGACATGGGATTGATTCTCTTGAGCTTCCTCTCATTCAGCACATGCACTTACCTGATCTAGACAGGCTCACTTCTTTATTAAGTGGTAGGTTCTTGCTATTTGTGCTTTAGTTTGGAAATCGTGATTCATATTTGCTTGCCTGAGACTCACTGTTGAGCATCTGTATATTTATTTTTATGGCATTATTCATTTCTCTTCATTGTATGAATTCTAGCTGATTTCTACTAATGCCTTTGATTTGCTTTGTCACAAAATATCCTATCTACAGGCACAGACAATTTGTTTTAAAGGTTAGATTGTTGCTCTATACTAGAATTCTAAACAAAACAGATAGTTGCTCTTTCTTTTAAATACAATTTTCCAAGATTTCAAGGTCAAATGACATTTTTTTCAAGTATGTGTATGGTTATCCATTTATTGAATGTGCAAAATTGGAACTTTTATGATCACTAATATTTTCTTCGCTTCTTGTTTGTTTGGGGTGGATACAATACCACCTTTGTGGTCTTCTTTTTTAATGTTGGCCTCAAGAGAATTATAGACTATGGAGATGACATTTTCTGAACAATAGCATATTGTGCATTCAGACACAAATAAAGTGAGGCCATTGCTTTGAGATATTGCTATAGCATATATATGCAAACAAGCCAAGTACTTCCATTACTTTATTTTTTATTGCTATTATAAGTATAAATTAAACAGTCATTTATGTAATACCCAAGGCTATAGCAATTATATAGTTCATTTGTATTTCCATGCATTATTTGGTTACTATTGCGATTGCTGAGACAAGTACTAATATCACCATTATTACTCCCTTCTTGTGAAATTCAACGAATGTGGTGTGGACACAAGCTTGAGTGCATCAGCAATCACGATATGTGTTGCATGAGTCCTTACCTGCTCAAGAGTATATGCAGTTCTAATTTTTCAGTTACGCTTAAGTTTCTAAAAGTTGAGGTGGGTTTTATTTCCTGAAAGTCAACGACCTACACTATTAGTTACTACATAAATTGTGCTGGATGATATACAAGAGTAACATTTGTACTTCAGTAAAATTATGTATTTAGGCTTAATAGAAAAAATATTCAATAAAATATGAACAGTTTTATAAGACAAGTAAAAAGGAGAGTTGCTCTCTGATTTCTCTTAATTGCTGCAGGCCTTAAGTTGCTCTTTGATTTCTCTTATATGCTGCAGGCCTTACAAATTCTTTCCAATAAGGACCTAGTGCCTATGATGTGATTAATATTCTAAACCATCTAATGGGCATCATATTCCTCTCACTTAGATTAATTAAAAAATAGTTGAATCCTAAATCATCAAACCATGAATCGATCTGTGGTTAAAGAAATAATTTGAGAATCAAATATAAACATTAGAATGTAACACTATTCATTAAGCTATTGCTCTCTAGGTTAAAACATAGACAATTGGATAAATCTCACAATTCACATTTAAAGCAATTGATGGATTCATAACAAAGTAAACTAGAGTTAATAATTGGAATAACATGAGAACACCATGACTTACTATGGATATTAGGTAGATAAATTGTGTAAGCCAGCACCAGCCAGCATGTCAAGTAAAAGTAGATGAATATACCATAACAGAAGACTTACACAGTTAGGATCTAAAAGCATTATACAGAGGACTACATATAGAAACTGTACCTTCTTGCTATCTACATGTTATAGTCGATTGCAAGGGCAGACATTCGTGCTACAATTAAGCAGAGATGGGACGTTTGTGCTACAATTAAGCAGAGACAGTAACAGGGAAGCTTGGTTTGGGTATTTGCACGCTTCTGTCCTGCTGTTGTAATTACTATTTAGTGGTCTTTGATTATAGCTTATATCAGCAAATTTTTTATGATTGACCAGTTCTACACCCTTGAAAGTCCTCACCAGATTTGGTGAAACTAACAGATTAACATATTGTCTGCTGTCTTCAGTGGCGCTAATGTTTTTCCCCATCTCTTCTTGTGATAACAGAGGCCACGTTTGACTGGATTATCATTACTTCACCAGAGGCGGGAAAGGTTTTTCTTGATGCTTGGAAGTAAGTTTAGGTTGAATTTACCAGTAAAGAGGGTTAATCTTGTCTGAAGTTCTTCACCTTATCATTTTAAATAACTAGACTATCTTCTTGACTAGTCCTTAGTACAGTTCCTTTGTTAGTTGAATAGGAGGATCACTATGACTATAGGCTATAGCCATTGGTAAGTTTACCAAAGACGAAAATGATTTATTTGATATTATGGATGGCTGGTCTGGAGAATATATCTGTGAAGTTGGCTTTAAAAATATAAAAAAATGCTGAGAAATTTACAAGATCTGATGTTAAATTTAGTCATTTTGTGTTGAACTTGTCAGTAAAACAAGTCATTGCAGTGTTTAAAAACGTTGTTGCTTTCTTGTGTAGACAAATCAGGTTTTTAAATTATGTTCTCAAAATGTTTGAGAATCTTATCTACTCGTTGAAGATATTTCATTTGACTTTCATAAGTTTGAGAAAGACCAATTGTATTGAGGTGCAAATACTTCCTATATAATATGGTTATTGGCATATGAAGTTTGATTATCCACTGAATTGATGTGTTTATGTGACAAATAGCACCTGCTAAGCATTACGATACAACTTAGGGAGATTCACACCCAAGAAGCTAGTTATTGAGGTGGGAGAACCCAAAGCTATATAAGTCCCACATCAACTCCCTATTAAACCGGTGTGGGACTCAAGTCTCATACCTTGCTATAGAATCATAACAAACCACCACGCTCTGCATCCGTCATCCTCAACGGCTATGTGCGCTAAACCATTTCTAACCCTGGGGCAACACTACAATATTGGCATCACTATCCATGACACGAAGGGCAGTGGGTGACTCTGATACCATTGATACAACCTAGGGAGAGTCACACCCCGAAAGCTAGTTGTTTAGGTGGGAGAATCCAAAGCTATATAAGTCCCACATCAGCTTCCCCATTAAACCAATGTGAGACTCAAGTCCCGTACCTTGCAATAGGATCATAAGATATTATCATCAACCCCAGTTCTGGTTGAACCTTCCATCCATCAACTGTATATTTTTTCCTAAATGAAGCATTGAACACTTGTATAAAAGACTCTCAGTTGATTGTCAGTATACACAAAAAGCGAGAGTCATTAGAATGTCTCCTGTTATGTGTGTACTTATGTTGTCAAATGAAATATTGAACTAAAGATGGTACGATAATTAGTTCCCCAAAATATGAAGTATTACTATATATGTTTTTCGTTACTGTTTATTTGTTGAAAGAAGCCTCAAATTCTTCAAGCTGTCTAAATGATCTATATTTACTTTTGCTCTCTCTGGTCCCACATACTTATTCTAATTTATTACTCAGAGCTGCTGGGACCCCATCTGTCAGAGTAGGAGTTGTTGGATCTGGTACAGCCAGCATATTTGATGAAGCTGTTCAGTCTTCAAAGCAGTATCTTGATGTGGCATTTTCACCATCGAAGGGTATTGAGTAAACTTCCCACTTGCTCTTTTGACATTTAGAAATAGCATAAGGCACACAGATGTGCATCAGGGATAACACTTGCATTTGTCATTCATTTAAATACCTTTTTTTCCTTGCAAACTGTTCCGCAGTAAAAAATTGACTGATGTTATGTTTTTGCCTGCCTGACTGAAAATTTCATTCTATTTGCATTTTCAGCAACTGGCAAGGTTTTAGCTTTAGAGCTTCCGAAGAATGGGAATGACAAGTGCACTGTTCTCTATCCTGCTTCAGCAAAAGCCAGCACTGACATCGGTGTGTGCATATTGCTCCATCTCTTTATGTTTCTGTCTCGCCTAATTCTCCCATCAACCTGATTTCATATAGAAATCTCTTTTTCCATGTATTCTCGTTCTGATTGTTCTGGTTCTGTAGGGATCTATAGTTTCTGCGGAGGTGCCTTTTTCTATTGTAAACCGTTATTCAGAAAAAAAATTAAAAAGGAAGAACAAAAGAAACATATTAACCACAAAAATCACAGCTCATTCCATTTCCTCATGGCCATAATCTGTACAAGAGTCTCATTCATCCGATATTTTGCAACTGTCTCACCTTGATAGTTCATGTTTAGTATGCAAATTTTCCTCGGAATACAGAAGTACTTTGAGTAGTTTTAAACTGACATATGGCTCCTTTATTTCAGAGGAAGGACTTTCTGGGCGGGGATTCGAGGTTACTCGGCTGAACACTTACACAACGGTATGATATTTCTCCATTGCCCAATTGGAGAAGAAAATTCATTTTTACTCACACGAGACCAGTGTGCTTGCAAATTTGGTAACACACACTTGCCCTGAAAAAGAGGGTCACTTGTCATCTTTTCCTGACATATGGTCAAAGTTCAGATAGAGCACCACATCTTGGATCCTTCTCTTGAGATAGAACTAATTAGATTTCATCCTGCTGCGTATAACCTTTCCATTTCTTGCAGGCACCAGTCAATCACGTTGATCAATATCTTCTTGAACTAGCACTCTCTGCTCCCGTTGTTGCTGTAGCATCTCCTTCTGCCCTCAGGTACAATGTTCCAAATTATTCATTTTTATAGCAAAAGTAGACAGATGACACGTTGATATCTAATATTGGCATAAGCAAGTGCACTAATTCTATAGCTGATGACTGTAATTCCACCAACATGCTAGAAAATATTAGACAGATGTTTCCGGACATAGTTCATTGAGCCAGGGAACAGGGTATGGTTCATTTAGAGGCTTTATTCTCTTTCTCCTTTCTCATTCCTTTTTCCTTCTGCTGGGTTATTTGACAGGGTATGGGCTAATCTTACTGCATCGAGACAGTGGGGACAATGCTGTTGCATGTATTGGGGAGACAACAGCTTCTGCAGCTAAAAAAACTTGGGTTCAGAAATATATACTATCCAACAAGTCCTGGTCTTGAAGGGTAACTTGTTGATCTAAGTCTCTTATTCTGTTTTTCTGATTTGACTTTTCTTCCTTTCTGGTTGTCCCTAATATTATAAAGTTACTTTGACTCTGTTCTGCAAGAAGAACAGTGCTACTTCCAATACAAAAACTGCTATTTTAGCATCTATGTTTGCCTCATGTAGTTGGTCTGATCTCTTTTGCTGTGAAGTAACTATTCACTGTCATATGGAAGGAGTTTGCTGTGAGAAGAGTATAAAGCATCAAATGGAAAACTATACTTCATTCTGGTCCTTGTCTTGATATTTTCTTTCTTCAAAAGTCGTATCTAGGGAATAGGGATCATATATTCTTTGTTTGTCCCTTCTAACCTGTGTAGTTTTCTATCTAAATTATACAATAAACCAGTGAGAATCATCCCAGATACCATTCATAAGACTTAGCTTTCTGCTGCATAGGGTTATCTCTTAGAAATTTTAACCTTCCTGTAACCATTCACAATATTATTTGTTCAACCTTTTCAATATTATGGAGCTCAATGTTATATGAGACTCACTTCTTTCAAAAGCTCACCTTCAAAACTCTACAGAAGTTCTAAGACACCCATCCTTTTCTATTCTTACCTATTTACCACATTTTTCTTGTGTCTTAATAGTGGCTCATAATTTTCCATAGTACTTTATTGAATTGGTAACTACTACTTCTGATGCTTCGATTTTATCATTACATGTTTGTTTTTTTGCTTCGGTTATTGTACTGTTTGTTTTTGCTACCGATATGGTTGCTTCACTATGGCATTTCCTTTCTTATTGGTTTTGATATGCTTTATTTGAGTAAAGGGTCTATTGGGAATAGTCTCTCTACCTTCACAAGGTAGTGGTAAGGCTGCGTGCACACCACCCTCCCAGACCCCACTTGTGGGAATACACTCGGTATGTTGTTGGTAATTACTACTACTACTGCTACTATTTTTTAAGGTAATATTTTAGTAAGTAGCTTTTAGTGAAGGATAACATTGTATTAAGTAACTTTA